CCTGCCTTACTGCCTGAAGTGTTCTCCCCTGCCACCCCTTCTCTGGATCCAACAGCATCACATCTCTGACTCGCTGGCCCCCCTGGGGCTTCTTTTCTGCTTGGATGTCAAGTAGAGAAGTCCCAAGGCAGTGGGAGAAGGTAAGTGTTGCTGCAGGGCTCAGGGCCCCAGATCCAATAGCAACATTTTCCCAACTCCCCGCTCTACTGATTTCTGATGCCCCAGGACCCTATCTCACTGCTACAGGACCATCCATGAAGCACATGCCAATCCTCCCTAATTTTCAGTAATCCTCTCAATTTTTTACGTCTTTACTAGGGCTGTTGATTAAATTGCAGTTAACTCACGGGATTAACTAAAAAAAAAATTAATCACAATTAATCGCAGTTTTAATTGCACAGTTAAACAATAGAATCCTAATTTAAATGTATTAAATATTTGGATGTTTTTCTACATTTTCAAATATATTGACTTCAATTACAACACAGAATACAAAATATACAGTGCTCACTTATATCTATATCTATTTTTTTTTTCAATTCACCTCATACAAGTTCTATAGTGCAATCTCTTTATCCTGAAAGTGCAACTTCCAAATGTAGATTGATTGTTACATAACTGCACTCAAAAATGAAACAGTGTAAAACTTTAGAGCCTACAAGTCAACTTAGTCCTACTTCTTGTTCAGCCAACCGCTAAGACAAACAATGTTGCTTACATTTACGGGAGATAATGCCGCCGGCTTCTTATTTACAATGTCACCTGAAATCGACAACAGGTGTTCGCATGGCACTTCTATAGCTGGCATTGCAAGGTATTTACATGCCAAATATGCTAAACATTCGTATGCCCTTCATGCTTCAGCCACCATTCCAGAGGACATGCTTGCATGCTGAAGGACGCTTGTTTAAAAAAAAAAAAAAGTGTCAATTAAATTAGTGACTGAACTCCTTGGGGGAGAACTGTATGCCTCCTGCTCTGTTTTACGCACATTCTGCCATATTTTTCATGTTATAGCAGTCTCGGATGATGACCCAGCACGTTGTTCATTTTAAGAACACTTTCACTGCAAATTTCACAAAACACAAAGAAGGCACCAATGTGAGATTTCTAAAGTTAGATACAGCACTCAATCCAAGGTTTAAGAATCTGAAGTGCTTTCCAAAAACTGAGAGGGACGAGGTGTGGAACATGCTTTCAGAAGTCTTAAAAGAGCAACACTTCGATGTGGAAACTACAGAACCCGAACCACCAAAAAATAAAATCAATCTTCTGATGGTGGCATCTGTCAGATAATGAAAATGACCGAGTCGGTCCGCACTGCTTTGGATTGTTATCGAGCAGAACCCGTCATCAGCATGTCCCCTGGAATGGTGGTTGAAGCATGAAGGGACATATGAATCTTTAGCACATCGGGCACATAACTATCTTGCGACGTCGGCTACGACGGTGCCATGCAAACGCCTGTTCTCACTTTCAGGGGACATTGTAAATAAGAAGCGGGCAGCATTATCTTCCGTAAATGTAAACAAACTCGTCTGTGCGATTGGCTGAACAAGTAGAACTGAGTGGACTTGTAGGCTCTAAAGTTTTACGTTGTTTTGTTTTTGAGTGCAGTTTAAAAAAACAAAACAAAACAAAAAAAAACCACCACACAAATGTAGAATTATCTAAGTTCAGCTTTTATGATAAGAGATTGCACTACAGTACTTGTAATGGGGGAGTTGGAAAATACTATATCTTGTTTTTTTACAGTGCAAATATTTGTAATAAAAAATAAAATATAAAGTGAGCACTGTATACTTGGTATTCTGTGTTGTAATTGAAATCAATATATTTGAAAATGTAGGAAACATCCAAAAATATTTAAATAAATGGTATTCTATCAGGGCTTTGGAGCAGAGCCCAGAGCTGGAGCACGGAGCAGCTCCAGAGCAGTGGAGCTGCAGGTTTTTGCCTGGAGCTGGAGCGGAGCCGGAGCACAGCTCCAAAGCCCTGTTTATTGTTTAATCATGCAATTATTTGCAATTTTTTTTTTTAAATCGCTTGACAGCCCTAGTATTTACAAAATTACTAATTCAGGCTTCAATCTACTAATCTTGTAAGTACGCACATTTTGTATAATACGTGTGTGTGTGTGTGATTCACTATCACCCAGGTTCAATAAAAACAGCAAATAGTGCTGTGGCTGCAGAGGGCATTCTCCACTTCCCTTGTGGCACAAGCAGACAAAGTCTGACAGGAGGCAAGCGTCAGCAATTCTGAATGGGTTGGGGCACAGCTGGATTCACCACAGAGGCTGCATATTGCGCTCTATCTGCCCCATGTGGACCCTAGGGGGCTATGTTAATGCACTCTAGGTACCTAGAGGACACCAGCAGGGCTCACAGGAGAGAGAGCGTGCAACACACAGTCTATGGCTTGGGCGGTGAATCCAGCACCCCAAACACCATTGACAAGCACTGCAGCTTATCTTCTTGGACCCTCATTGCGCAGTCTGTAGGGGAGGAAAAGCTTGAGGAGGCAGTGATGGCAGAGGAGGAGAAATGGAACATGACATAGAAGGGAGAAGAGGAGGATCATCCCTGGAAGGAGGTCCAGGCCTGGGACTGACCAAGCTGATTAAGGACCCTAGGTGATGTATGAGGGTGGCTTTCCCAGGGCTGATCCTCCCTTTCTTCGTTTGTGGGTGGGTGTCAGGGGCACAACAGAGGTGGGACATCCCAACTCCCTGCTTGCCATAAACAGGGAGGGGAAGAGGAGGGAGATCTCCAAGCAAGATCTCCAAGGGAGATTTCCCCCGCCACAAACATTTCTAGATGTCTCAGAGCAAGACTGGCATCTCTACATGAAATCAAGTGCCTCCCCACTCCCCCAGTGCCTGCCCCCCTCACTCTCCCCACCAACCGTTCAGCCTCTGCTGCCCCTCACTATCTCTGGCTCCTGCACCGCACAGTGGCAGCCACATTGCTCGCGGGCTGGCTTCAACTCACTCAAACAGTGAAAACAATGAGGAGTCCTTGTGGCACCTTAGAGACTAACAAATTTATTTGGGCATATACATTCGTGGGCTATAACTCACTTCATCAGATGCATGGAGTGAAAAATACAGTAAGCAGCTATAAATATACAGTACATGAAAAGATGGGAGCTGCCTTACTAAGTGTGTGTGTGGGGGGGGGGTGTCAGTGATAATGACACCAATTCAATTAGGGTGGATGTGGCCCATTCCCAACAGCTGACAAGAAGGTGTGAATATCAACAGAGGGAAAATTATTTTTTGTAATGACCCAGAGGGCATTTGCTGGCACATGATGGCATATATCACATTGGTAGATCATAGAATATCAGGGTTGGAAGGGACCTCAGGAGGTCATCTAGTCCATCTACAGCCAAGCCCTAAGATAACACCTACAGGATCTGTATCAATACCCACCTGGGGAAGTGAAGAAACAGATTGACAGAGCCAGAAGGGTACCCAGAAGTCACCTACTACAGGACAGGCCCAACAAAGAAAGTAACAGAAAACCACTAGCCGTCACCTACAGCCCGCAACTCAAACCTCTCCAATGCACCAAGGATCTACAACCTATCCTGAAGGATGATCCCTCACTCTCACAGACATTGGGAGACAGGCCAGTCCTCGCTTACAGACAGCCCCCCAACCTGAAGCAAACACTCACCAGCAACTACACACCATACAAAACAAAAAAAACAAAAAAAACCCACTAACCCAGGAACCAATCCCTGCAACAAACCCTGTTGCCAACTCAGTCCGCATATCTATTCAAGGGACACTATCATAGGACCTAATCACATCAGCCACACCATCAGGGGCAAGTTCACCTGCACATCTACCAATGTGATATATGCCATCATGTGCCAGCAATGCCCCTCTGCCATGTACATTGGCCAAACAGGACAGTCTCTACGCAAAAGAATAAATGGACACAAATCAGACATCAGAATTATAACATTCAAAAACCAGTCAGCGAACACTTCAATCTCCCTGGACACTCAGTAACAGACTTAAAAGTGGCAACTCTTCAACAAAAAACCTTCAAAAACAGACTTCAAAGAGAAACTGCAGAACTGGAATTAATTTGCAAACTGGACACCATTAAATTAGGCCTGAATAAAGACTGGGCGTGGCTGGGTCACTACAAAAAATAATTTTCCCTCTGTTGATATTCACACCTTCTTGTCAGCTGTTGGGAATGGGCCACATCCACCCTAATTGAATTGGTGTCATTATCACTGACCCCCAACCCTCCCGCCACTTGATAAGGCAACTCCCATCTTTTCATGAGCTGTATATTTATACCTGCTTACTGGGCAGCCTCGCTCCCAGGCGCCACCAGACCGTAGGGAGATGGCGCCCATTTCGCTAGCTTCAGCCCCATTGACAGCAATAGGAGATGGCGGCCATTTTGAATAAGGGAGAATCCGTTTTCACGAGACTGGGAAAAACACCCCTAAAACTGCCAGAGTCACAATCACCTCGTGAGAGGCGGCACCACTATTAACCGCATAGCCAGGGGAGGGGGGGGGGGGCAGAGCCGCGCTTCTTACCCGCCAGCTGCCCAGCAACCTGGGCTAGAGATAGCACCTCCTGCACCACGTACTGCGCGGGGCCCCCGCTGCGAAGCAGATCGCCCGGGGACAGGGGCAGGTGGAATTCCCAGGGGAGCGGCGACGACGGCATCTCCTGGCTGCCAAGGAACAGGACCACGACGTGAGCGGCGGCGGCCTGGCTCCCCACCCAAGAGCCTGGCCTGCCAGCGCTGCCGGTCCGCCTCCTCCAAACGGTCAAAGCGCGCAGGCAAACGCTACAACCACTAGCTTCAGCGCCCTCGGAACACCAAGGAGCCAATCACAGCACAGACCGCGTTCTTCACCTCCATCCAATTACCCACATGCAAGCCCACCCATCTCCGAACGGCCGGTTTCGCGCCAACTCTTCCCGCATTCGAATCACAACCGCCTCCTTGTTACCGGCGCCAATCAGAGGGCAGCTGGAACACAACAACCAATCAGACACCAGAGGCTCCTTCCACCTCTCAGTTCCCGGCCGCGCAACCTCTGGTCCGTGGCGCCGGTGAGGGGGGCTGAATCTCTCGAGCCCGGGTTCATAGTCAGCGTGTGGGGGGAGGGGGCGTCCGGGGACAGCAGCTACCGTTGGTTTGGTCTGGACCCGTGGCCGGGAGCAGGGACACTGGGGTGCGCCAAGACAGGCCGCGCAGGGAGCGGTGCATTCTGGGAAGCAGCAGCCAGTTAACATGGCTGTGTCTCGGCGGGGCTTGTGCTGTTACTAAGGCCCCCGCTCCAGTCGGGCCTGCCTGGCTTGTGCCCCGTGGTTCCTGTGGGGAGGGAGCGGGGAGCGCATGCCCGGTCGTCCCGCCCTTGCTGCGCGGGCTCTGTCGGGGCCGCTCCGGTGACTGGGGCTCTGTCTTTGCAGGGTGGGACAATGCGGACTCTGCTGCAGCTGGCAAGATGGGGCCTCTTGGGCCGTAGCCTCTCTCTGGTCCAGACCGCGAGGAGCCTCCACTGTGGTGAGCGGGGCGGGGTACGCACCCAGACCTTGTATTGCCCTCCCGGCCAAGCAAGGGCGACCTGTAGGGTCAGGCCCTTCTACTGATAATCTCGTTCTTCAGCTGCCTTCTCTGTTTCAAGGGGTCTCTAGCTGGATCCATGTGAAGTTGCCCCCTGAACCTAAAGAGGTTGATCGCTGGACAGAGAAACGAGCCTTATTTGGGGTCTATGACAATATAGGAATTCTAGGTAAGTGACCAACGGTGGATCTGAGGATATCATGGGCGAAGGGAAAGTAACTGGAACTCCAAATTGGGGGTCAGGAGAGTAGAGGTTAGTTCTACTCTGGGACTGGGAAAAATTTAATGGTGTCAGAATGAATTGAGGTTGATGGGACCTGGGGCTAACCTTTCTGCTACCCTGGGTTTGTTTTCCTGTTACTGCATCTGTTTCCCACTTACCCCTTCTTCCTCAGGAGACTTCCAGGTTCACCCCAAGGACTTGATCACAGGGCCCAGGTGGCTGCGAGGCTGGCGGGGAAATGAGCTACAGAGATGCATCCGCAAGAAGCAAATTGTAGGTCACCGAATGTTTGATCAGGATTACAAGAACCTTAACAAAAGGATCAGGTTCCTGTACAGACGTTTCAACCGCACTGGAAAGCACCGCTAGGAGCAGACCTGTGAGAGCTAGCCATGTGCCTCCTGGAAGGAATGGCATCCTGGGTGTAACAGGTTTAGCACCTGGAGCTGTGCACAGATTGGGGTGTTGTAAAATCGTAATAAACTGAGTTTCTCTTCTACAACCACCTTCTACCTCTGATCCCACTTAAAGCTCAGTTCCAACCCACAGACCCTCCTGCTTGTCCAGTCCTGAGCTCCCTTTGCACACCTTTCCCGATTATTCCTTCTCCTCCACCACCCTTAAATTTATCTTCTTACTGCTTCCCTTAGTTTGGATCCCCATATTGCTCTATTGCAACCCCTCCCTGTAGTATCTGGTTTCCAGCTTCATAGTTTGTCACACCAATCTTAATATTGAAATGACCCAAAACATTAAATGTTTTCAATTATCAGCACTCGGACAATCTTTATTCCATTTTATAATTCTCCCAAAGAGTTGCAAGTCTCTTTTGTATTCTCCTTCTCCACTAATTCCCCATCTGCTACAGCTCACAGTTTAGTCATCTGTCTGTCCTTCAAAACCCTCCAATAAATTATGACTTGAGTAATGCTGAAGTTACCTTAACAACCCAGAATTGAAGTTGCATTGAAATTTGTCTTAAAGGATGATTAATCCTTTTAATTCACACTACTTCCTGTGTTTAATCTCTATACACCTCTACCCCGATATAACGCGACCAGATAGAACATGAATTCGGATATAACCCGGTAAAGCAGTGCTGGGGGGGGCGGGGGCGCGCTGGGGGCTGGGCTGCGTACTCCGATGGATCAAAGCAAGTTTGATATAATGCGGTTTCACCTATAATGCGGTAAGATTTTTTGTCTCCCGAGGACAGCGTTATATCGAGGTAGAGGTGTATTTAATATACTCCCTGAACAGGTGAATTTTCTTAGCCAAAGGTTACTAATGTAACTTAAGCAGGTGAAATTTAGATAATCCCTTTTTGAAATTTTCCCTGAAGTCAGGCTGTCATCAAGCTCTTTTGTAGGAACAGCCCTACTGGATCAGAGCTGGGGTCAAGTGCCCTGTCTCATACAGGGGCCAGTACCAGATCCTTCAGAGGCAGGTGTAAGAAACCTACAGTAGGCAGATCTATGGTACTCTGCCCCCCATTCGTTCACATTCTGATTTCTCACAGTTAGAGATGGGCTGAAACTAAGTATAACCCTGACTTTCACAATAAGCCAAAAATCAAGCTAATCCCATTTCAAAACAAGCCAATCCTTAAGAATCCCAACACTCTGTGACTAGATCCCCCCAGGGTGGAGTCTGGGACTGTGGTGGGCCTGCTGTGCACCCCTGATTCTCTCCTGTCCCCTTGCCCTGGCTTCCTCACCCTCTTGCCCCTGCTTGCCGGGAGCTGATCAGGAAAAAAAAGAAGCAAAAAGCTACATGCCAAAAACTAGCCAACAAGCAGCTCACAAGCCAATTAAGCCAAAAACAAGCCCATTTTCTGTGGGGTTTTTTGTGGGTTTGGCATGTCTGCTTGTGGATGGAGTCTTGGGCTGGTGGATACCAGTTCTCCTGTAATGAAGCATCAGGAGTTCGTTGGCTTCACTGAAATGTCTGCCATGGGGAGCCCCTGATGTACCAAGGCCTCAGTGTAGAGATAGAGCTGAATGGGGAGTTCTGTGGTGTCCCAGGAGAAGCAGTGTTGCATTGAGATGTTATTGCATCAAGAGTTAGCCTCAGTAAGGGAGCTGTGACAGAAGAACTGAGTTAATTTCCCTCCTTCCTCCAGTGGTGGGGATAGAAGTTGTGACTGGGGAATTGAAACTGGAGTAGCAGTGCTCTCTTGGAAGAAGCTTTAGCTGCTGTCCTGGCAGAGACCCAGTAGTTTCCATTCTGATCCAGTGGGAGGCAGGAGTTAGAAACGTTTGCTGCTTGGGTTGTACCCCAACATGGAACACTGCTGAGCCCTTTGTCTGCAGAGGGACATAATGGAAGAATTCTGGCCCCTAGGAGGGTCAGCAATAGATCTCTAGTCAGGTGACAGAGGGCTGTCTCCTTAGACCTGGCTACAACTTTGGCTCTTACTCCACCTTGTGTACCTTCATGCCTTGATGGAAGAGCTTGAAAGCACTGCTCCTATGGAGGCTACAAACCCTGTCAGAGTGCTCCAGAGGTTATGTCTACACTACAGACCTTACAGCGGCACACCTGTACTGCTACAGCTGTACCACTCCAAGGTCTCCTGTGTAACCGCTCTATACCAGCAGGAGAGAGCTCTCCTGCCGACATAGCGCTGTCCATACCAGCACTTTTGTCAGTGAAACTTATGTTGGTGAGGGAGGTGTTTTTTTCCACACCCCTGCTAGCATAGACAAAGCTTTAGAGTTTCTGACCATTGCTGCTGCTTCAGCCTATAAGGCATATGCTTGAGCTATCAAATTCTGCTATACGAAATATGAATGCAAGTACTTCCAGGAGCTTATTCATGTGGGTCTTTTAAATCTATCATCTGGAGGCATCCCAGTTAATGTTCCATCTTGATTTCCACTTTGGCGGGACCGTAGCCCTGTAAACACACCAAACAATTCTTGACTAAATTGAATGTTAGTGAAACTAAGTGTTAGTCAATCTTTTAAAGGGAATAGGTAAAATAAAGGACATATCTCCTCCCAAAGCATGACTGCTTTCAGTTCTGTGACACAACTCAGGCTTTTCTGATTTTTTTTTTCCACAATCTCTACACAACAGATAATTTGTGAGTAGTAGGTGGAACAGCAAGGTGGCATGCCAAGGAGAATCATAGGACTAGAAAGGACCTTGAGAGGTCATCTAGTCCAGTCCCCTGCAGTCATGGCAGGACTAAGTATTATCTAGACCAGTGGTCTCCAAAGTGGGTTGGTTTTTTTGTTTTTGTTTTTGCTTCGGCGCAGCAGGGGGTGCATGCTCAAAATTTTTTTACTGATGGGGTGCGCGATCAAAAAAGTTTGAAGACCAGTGATCTAGACCATACCTGACAGGTGTTTGTCTAACCTGCTCTTAATCTCCAATGATGGAGATTCCACAACCTCCCTAGGCAATTTATTCCAGTGCTTTACCACCCTGACAGGAAGTTTTTCCTAATGTAGACTCAGACTTTAGACTTTAAGGTCAGAAGAGACCATTATGAGCATCTAGTCTGACCTCCTGCACAACGCAGGCTGCAGAATCTCACCCACCCACTCCTGTAACAAACCTCTAACCTATGCCTAGAGTTATTGAAGTCCTCAAATCGTGGTTTAAAGACCTCAAGGTGCAGAGAATCCTCCAGCAAGTGACCCATGCCCCACGCAGCAGAGGAAGGCGAAAAATCTCCAGGGCCTCTGCCAATCTGCCCTGGAGGAAATGTCCAACCTAAACCTCCCTTGCTGCAATTGAAGCCCATTGCTGCTTGTCCTATCCTCAGAGGTTAAGAAGAACAAATTTTCTCCCTCCTCCTTGTAACAACCTTTCTGTACTTGAAAACTGTTATGTCCCCTCTCAGTCTTCTCTTCTCCAGACTAAACAAACCCAATTTTTTCAATCTTCCCTCATAGGACGTTTTCTAGACCTTTAATCATTTTTGTTGCTCTTCTCTGGACTTTTTCCAATTTCTCCACATCTTTTCTGAAATGTGGTGCCCAGAACTGGACACAATACTCCAGTTGAGGCCTAATCAGCGCAGAGTAGAGCGGAAGAATTACTTCTCATGTCTTACTTACAGCACTCCTACTAATACATCCCAAAATTATGTTTGCTTTTTTTGCAACAGTGTTACACTGTTGACTCTTATTTAGCTTGTGGTTCACTATGACCCCCAGATCCCTTTCTGCAGTACTCCTTCCTAGGCAGTCATTTCCCATTTGGTATGTGTGCATCTGATTGTTTCTTCCTAAGTGGAATACTTTGCATTTGTCCTTATTGAAGTTCATCCCATTTACTTCAGACCATTTTTCCAGTTTGTCCAGATCATTTTGAATTATAATCCTATCCTCCAAAGCACTTGCAACCCCTCCCAGCTTGGTATCGTTCTCAGACTTTATACATGTACTCTCTCTGACATTATCTAAATCATTGCTGAATATATTGAACAGAACCGGACCCAGAACTAATCCCTGTGGGACCCCACTCATTATGCCCTTCCAGCTTGACTGTGAACCATTGATAACTCGGAACAGTTTTCCAACCTTATAGTAGCTCCATCTAGGTTGTATTTCCCTAGTTTGTTTATGAGAAGGTCATGCAAGACAGTATCAAAAGCCTTACTAAAGTCAAGATATATCACATCTACTGCTTCCCCCCATCCACAAGGCTTGTTACTCTGTCAAAGAAAGCTATCAGGTTGGTTTGACATGATTTGTTCTTGACAAATCCATGCTGTTACTTATCACCTTACTATCTTCTATTCTATCTTACTGCAAATTGATTGTTTAATTATTTGCTCCATTATCTTTCCAGTTACAGTAGTTAAACTGACTGGTCTGTAATTCCCCCGGTTGTCCTTATTTAGCTTTTTATAGGTTGGGACTATATATGCCCTTTTCCAGTCTTCTGGAATCCCATCTTCCATGAGTTTTCAAAGATAATCGCTAATGGCTCAGATATCTCCTCAGTCAGCTCCTTGAGTATTCTAGGATGCATTTCCTCAGGCCCTGGTGTCTTGAAGACATCTAACTTGTTTAAGTAATTTTTAACTTGTTCTTTCCCTATTTTAGCCTCTGATCCTACCTCATTTTCATTAGCATTCACTATGTTAGATGTCCATTCATCATCAACTTTCTTGGTGAAAACCGAAACAAGTCATTAAGCACCTCTGCCATTTCCACACTTTCTGTTATTTCCCCCCGTGCCCACATCGAGTAATGGGCCTACCCTGTGCTTGGTCTTCCTCTTGCTTCTAATGTATTTGTAGAATGTTTTCTTGTTACCCTTTATGTCTCCAGCTAGTTTGATCTCGTTTTGTGACTTTTTAATTTTCTCTCTACATACTTGTGTTGTGTATATTCATCCTTTGTAATTTGACCTAGTTTCCACTTTTTGTAGGACTCTCTTGATTTTTAGATCATTGAAGATCTTCTGGGTAAGCCAGGGTGGTCTCTTGCCATACTTCCAATCTTTCCTCCACAGTAGGATAGTTTGCTCTTGTGCCCTTAATAATGTCTCTTTGAAAAACTACTAGCTGTCTTCAATTGTTTTTCCTCTTAGACTTACTTCCCATGGGATCTTACCTACAAACTCCCTGAGTTTGCTAAAGTCTGCCTTCTTGAAAGCCGTTGTCTTTATTTTGCTGTTCTTGGGGGGGATAGCTCAGTAGTTTGAGCATTGGCCTGCTAAACCCAGGGTGGGGAGTTCAATCCTTGAGGGGGCCATTTAGGAATCTGTGGTAAAATTCTGTCAGGGATGGTACTTGGTCCTGCTGTGAAGACAGGGGGACTGGACTCAATGACCTTTCAAGGTCCCTTCCAGTTCTCTTAATTTTTTTTTTTTTTTTAATTTGGGGGGAGGGATTGCCAATGCTCAGTGGTTTGAGCATCGGCCTGCTAAACCCAGGGTTGTGAGTTCAATCCTTGAGGGGGGCATTTAGGGATCTGGGGCAAAAATCTGGGGATTGGTCCTGCTTTGAGCAGGGGGTTGGACTAGATGACCTCCTGAGGTCCCTTCCAACCCTGATATTCTATGATTCTATACCTACCATTTCTTAGACTCATTAACTCTACCATTTCATGATCACTTCCACCCAAGCTGCTTTCCACTTTCAAATTCAAAACCAGTTCTTCCCTTTCTGCCAAAATCAAATCTAGTACAGCCCTCTCCCCTAATAGCTTTCTCCACCGGAGAGGCAGATGAATCAACACATTGGAGCCCTGCACCAGCAATCCTGGCTAATGCAGGGGAAGGCAATGATGTGTGGCAGATGTTTGGCTAGTGTCACCTGCCGCTGTGGAGTCTCTGAGTCATGAAGGGGGAGCTGCAACATATAGTCAGTTCTCCGCATTGGGGGTGGGGCGGCAGTCCCTAGCCCCAACTTCTTTCAGGGCTGAACCACGTGTGAGCTGCGCTGTGGTGACGTTGGTACATGAGGCTGTGATGCCATGGTGATTATTTTTTTCAGTCTGATGCGATCACACTCCACTGTTATAATGACGTCTTGATGATTTCAGTCTGCAGCTTGGCCCTGCAATGATTGCGTCTGCTCCAGGCTGGATTTTCTGGGCTTCTTTCCCCTTTCCCGGGCCCTCTTCTTTCCCGTGTAAACACACATTATCTATCTCCCGCTGCGCAGCTTTCTCTGACCAATGGGCGGTGGGCCCCGAGGGGCTTCCTCGCCACGACCATACCCACCCGGGGGTTAATCGCCCGTTAAGAGTTGTAGGCATGGCCTGAAAGCTCGGTGGCGTACAGTGTACAAGGTACAGTGATTGGTTTAGGGAACAGGTAGCGAACGTTCTGATTGAGCAGAGGTCCACGGGGCGCGGGGGATCCGGAACTAAGGCTGCAGCTCACTGTACAACGGGTTGGAGGACCGTCACACGACGGTTGGCTGGTGCTAGGCTGTAGCTGTTTAGTTGTGCGGGTAGAGAGGTAGCAGCCAGACCTACAGGGTGCTAACGCTGACGCTTAGGTAAGCACTTGGCTGAGGGTGCGAAGGGACATTGCAGACAGGAGGGGGCGTGGCCGTGGCCTCTGGCGGCGTTGATTTGCCGATGGTGGGCGTGGTCAAATAGCACCAGACTATAGGCGGGGGGGGCGTAGTGGCGCGACAGCTAAAACCCGAGGCAGGCGCAGGACAGGTGCTGGGTAGACGCGGAGCGCTGAGTGCGTGTTCTCAGCCCGGCGGAGCCATGTAAGTATTGGGGGCGCCGAGTCGCGCATTGTAGCAGCTGGGGCTCCGCGGCCCTCGAGCGGGGATTGGGCGCTGTCCCGTGCTGCAGTCTCGTCTGGGGCTGAGCAGTCTGCAGGGAGGGGAGGCTCCTGTGGCCCGTAGGATGTACCCGCCACCTCCCTGGGAGAAGAGGCAGCCTGCGTGCCAGTACCGGCCGCCTCTCCCCGGCTCCTGGCAACTCCCCGCCGCCCCAGCACTGGCTTCCCCACCTCGATTGGTGGGAGTGTCGGCTGGCACGAAATGGCCCTTCCTGCACCTCTGCCTGGCTCCCATCAACGTCTGTGGCTAGACCCGCCCTGCACAGCGGCGTCTGCACTTTTCCGGCCGGTGATCACGACAGCCTGCCCTGCTCTGCCCGGCCACCAGCAGCAGTAGCAGCATCTGCGCTCGTGTGTCGTGTCTCGCTCCCAGCAGCTTCCCCTCTGGCCCCTGCAGTCCACGCCCAAGGGCTCAGAGGCTGCGGGGGTCTCTTGCTGTGCGGGTCTTATAGGAAGAAGCTCTGCCATGGAGTCCCATGTTCTAGGGGACTGCCCGGGGATCCTGCTCCGTGCACCCCCGCGCATCAGTGGTGCCTGTCAGGCAAGGCACCAGGTGGTTCTGGCTCCCAGTAGCTGAAAGTGAGAGGGGGAGGTAAGTGTCTCTTTGCCCATGTCGTAATGACATTTGGAATAGGCTCTCCTCTCCCTGTAGGGGCTTGCCTGAGTTTGGGAGGCGGCTTGTCTGCCCTGTGAGCCCAGGGAGCTGCTCTGAAAGTGTGTGTCTTTCTCTCTTTCCCCCCCCCCTAAAAAAAATTGCAGGCTCTAGTTGTCCCAGCTCAAGTGGTGGGGTGGTGCTGGTTAGTTTCTTGGGTGCTGCAGGAGGGGAACTTATAAGCATCCTCATTTGTAGTGGTCCTGTGTTGTGAATGCTTCAAGTAGCTGCATTCCCGTGATCAGCTCCCCAGACTGGGAAATACAGCCTTAATTCCTAATTAACAGAAATCAGTTAAAGATGACTGTGGGGGCAGCAAGATACTTGTTGTCCAGCTGGGCAGATCTCAACAGCCTGCCTGGTGATTCCAGTCCTGCATGCACATATGCAGGTTTACTGCTAGACTCAATTCCCTTCCCTCGCTTCTGTTTCTTTTCTTTAAAGTTGGCCCTTATTTATTGTCTGGCACTAGACACCTATGTGCCATAGAATCATAGAAATGGAAGTCTGGAAGGGACCTCCAGGTCAAGTCCAGCCTCCTACACTGAGGCTGGGACAAGTAAACACAAATCAGGTCCAACCTGTTTTTAAAAACCTCCAGAGATGGGAGATTCCACAACCTCGCTCGAAAGCCTATTCTAACCCTTATAGTTAGAAAGATTTTCCTGATATCTAACCTGAATCTCCCTTACTGCAGAGGAAGCCCATTACTACTTTTCCTACCTTCAGTGGACATGTAGAACAATTGATCACAATCGGCTAATATCCCTTAACATATTGGAAGCCTGTTAGAAGGTTCCCCCTCACAATTCTTCTTCTCAAGACTAAACATACCCATTTTTTTTAACCTTTCCATATAGGTCAAGTTTTTTAAACCTTGCCTTTTTTGTTGCTCTCCTTTGGACTCTCTCCAATTTGTCCACATCTTGCGCCCAGAATTGGACACAGGACTCCAGCTGAAGCCTCATCAGTGCTGAGCAGAGCGGGACAATTACCTCCTTTGTCTTACATACAACACTCCTGTTAATATATCACAGAATGACATTAGCCTTTTTTGCAACTGCATCTCGTTGTTGACTCATTTTCAATTTCTGATCAACTATAACTCCCAGATCCTTTTCAGCAGTACTACCACTTAGCCAGTTATTCCCCATCTTGTAGTTGTGCATTTGAGTTGTGAACTAAGGGCATGGCTACACTTGCAAACGTAGAGCACTTTGAGTTAAACCAGCCTTCGTAGAGCGCAGTAGGGAAAGTGCTGCAGTCTGTCCACGCTGACAGCGCACTGGTGTGGCCACATTAGCAGCTCTTGCAATGGCCATAGAGAGCAGTGCATTCTGGTAGCTATCCCAGCATGCAAGTGGCTGCATGCTTTTCAAATGAGGGGGGTGGGGTGGAGTGTGTTGTGTGTATGTTGGGGGAGAGAGAGTGGGTTTTTGTGGGTCTGAGAGCATGTTGGCATGCTGTCTTGTAAGTTCAGACAGCAGCAGACCTCCCTCCCGCCCCTCTCTCACACAGCATTCCACAGTAACGGCTTGCATGCAGGCTGTCAGAAACGGAGGTTTGAAAGGGCATTTCCGCATTCCTACAGGAGTTCAAAACAATGACAAGAGTGGCCACTTGATTTAAGGGGATTATGGGACGTTTCCAGAGGCTGATCAGAGTAATGCAACACCTCGTTCACACCGTGTGTTGTAGCCAAGGTGCAGCAAATGTTATTCCTCTCGCCAAGGTGGAGTACCAGGAGTGCTTTAGCTGCGGAGTCAGAGCGCTCTACGTGCCTTGCCAGTGTGGACGGGGAGTGTGCTAGTGCACACGGGGCTCCTTTATTGCGCACTAACTTGCAAGTGTAGTCAAGCCTGACGTCTACTACATCACACTTGTTTTTAGTGAATTTCATCTTGTTGAATTCAAGCCAGTTCCCCAATTTCTTAAGGTCATTTTCAATTCTAAACCTATCCTCCAAAGTGCTTGCCACTCCTCCCAGCTTGGTGTCATCCATGCATTTTATAAGCATAATTTCAATGCTATTATCCAAATCATTAATGAAAATATTCAGTAGTGCTGGACCCAGGATTGACAATCCTGCCCCTCCTCCCCCCCCCACCCCCATGGGACCTCACTACATATCCTCTCCCAGTTTGAGATCCTGTATCAGTTCTTGAGCTTTCTTCTGGCTTTTTAGTTTGGGACTTGACTCCTGAGTTCTGCTTTTCTCTTAAACCTGAGGTTCGTAGATGGACCCATATTACTTTGTTTCCTCTGTTGGGTATGTCTCCTTGTCTCATCAGGTCTGATCCAGCTCAGCAATCTGCTCCCAGGGCCCCAGAAGGGGGTGCTCTTGGTGGGGGTCCCCCTGGGCCTCCCCCCAACATGAGTAGTAACCTTCGGCTGCAGCAGTCCCAGGCCCAGATGGAGGAGGTAAGTCCGTGTCTCATGAGCTTGGTCTCTTATTATTTTGTATTATCATATTGCCTAGGACTAGTGTGATGGACTAGAATCCCGTTTTTGCTTTTGTGCCTCCCTCTGTGCCAGTGTAACATATGCTTTTTCTTCTTCTTCTTCTTCTTCTTTCTTTTTGCAGGTGGTGAGCATAATGAGTGTGAATGTGGAGAAAGTGCTGGATCGAGACATAAGACTTACCGAGATGGATGGCAAGGCAGAGGCACTTGAGGCTGGTGCCTCAGTGTTTAAAACTAGTGCAGGAAAGCTAAAGAGGAAGTACTGGTGGAAGAACTGTAAGGTGAGCCTCCCAGCCCTTTCATCTACCTTCCAATGAGGCCAGATCTGAAGTTGTTCCGTGTCTCCTTTGGCTGCATCCAGAGGCCATGGGTGGGGGGGTGGCACATGCAGGGTCACATGATGTGGCCGGGCCCCTCCCTGCCGAGCAGCTGGGCCAGCAAGCCAGGCATGGAGAGGCAAAGGCAGGAGTGGAGTGGTGTATGACTTGAAGTTTTCTGGGGTTGTGCCCCTCCCTCTCTTCTCCCTTCTCCCCCACTCCCTGTCAGCAGGCACAGGTAATCTGTGGCTGCATCAAAGTGAAGCTGGGGTTATAAAACAGTTGCACTTTGTACAGTTAGGGCTGTGGTTTCAGCATGAAGCTGCCCCAAGCCCTCTTTGGAAGGCAAGGTACACAGAAAGGAGAATGATCTGGATCTCTTCATACCCTCCCTGAGGGGTTGTGGAGTGCAGCCTTCCGCTGGACCCCTGCTGCTTCCTCACTGCTCTGCATGAGAGGCCTTAGGGACTGATTGTGGGGGTGGGGAGATGGGAATCAATTGGGTCAGCACTGCATCCATGGCCTAGGATTTGAAGAAAACTTGCTGTGCTGCTAATTAGGACTTGCTGCTCCCCCTTCTTTGGAGACTCCTGACTCAACCTGGACATTCATCTCTTGGCTGTTGAAGCAGGTTCGTGGCACTGGGGGTTGGAAAGAGGAAATGCTATTTTGCACCAGGCCATGCTGTATGGAAGGACTGGAACCCTGAGCTTTCTTGTCTCTAGGGTGTGGATGAGATGCCTTGGGAGTACTCCACCACATAATAACCCCTTCTGAGAGTATTAACCCTTCATAATCTTTCTCCCCAGATGATGATCATGCTTGGAGTGATCTGTGCCATTGTGATGGTGGCGATTGTACGTAAGTACCATATAGAATCTGAATGGAGGGTCAGGGAGCCCCCAAGTCTTGGAAATTGCCACCTTCTCCCTTTTGGTTAAGGGACTGAAGGTCTGAGAGTACCCTGCATGTTCAAACGGTAGCTTCTGCCTGCTGGTTAAGGGAAAAGGTACCTTCCAAATGCCTGGTGAAGGGTGGAGTATCTGGGAAACTCCACAGGGAAATGGTATGTTCAAAATAGCATATAAAGGACCCAGTCTGAGAGCTCTTTCTCCTTGGGGGGGAAATGGGACCTTCCCTCTATTGGGACAGAGGAGTTCTTCTCCCAAGTGTGAAAGGCATGGGAGTGGAAGGGTTGGGAAGTCCCTAACTTGGCTGGGGGTTTGTAGGCCTCAGTTGCCTACTGTGGGGACCTTGGTGTAACTTGCCCTCTTGTTTTCTCCTTTCTCTTTTCCTTCTGTTGCATTCTGTCTCCAGTTTACTTTTGTACTTGAGAATGTGACCCCTCAGTCTGCAGTCCACCTTCCCCTCTTCCTGTCTCCTTCCTTGCCCACGCTCCCCCCTCCATGTGGCTGCTTCATTTTCAGTTCTTTTGTTGGTTTTGTTTGTCTTCTGTGTAAGATTCTGAAGCAACTCTCCTGGATCTAGGTTTAACGCCTTCAACACCTGCTGCAGCCCCAGGGAGGGTCAGCTCACTGGGGCGGGGAGGGAGGGAAGATGTTGCTTCCATTCTTATGTTTGAGGGTAACTTTTTTTTTTTTTTTTTTAATCCGAATTTGAGTGAGGCATGGCTTAGGTGTCACCTTCATCACAGCTGTACCTAAAGGGTGTACTTCAGCAATGTGAGCTTCCTCAAAGCAGTTCCCTGGCAGTGATGAACCTAGAGAGCAGGAGGGGGACTCCAGTGTGAAATTGATTAGAGTAGTGCCTCACCTCAGAGGAGAGCATCTGGCCTCCGCTTTTGTGGAGTTTCCCTTTAACTGCTGAAGTCTAAACTAGTTTATGGTGGTCACTTAGCCTTCAGCTCCCCACAAATAGTGATGAGTTGTGCCTTGCTCATGTTGTGGCAGCTCTCAGCTTCATAGGAATGCAACAGGAAGGGTTGATGATCCTTTTTCCTACACCACAAGGACAACAGCAATGGTTATATCGGGGGTTGGTATTCCTGTAACTGGTACAGACTTGTCAGGATGTCATCCTGGTTAGCTACTGGCATGCACTTTACTCTGAGGAAGTCCAGGGCGTGGAGGGAACAGGACTGGTAGAGGGAGTGAGAGGGAATTCTGGATTTTTCTTGCTTCATCAAGCTGTGTGCCTCTTTCTGTTGCGTGAAGGGAGACATGGGTTGGGGGGTCCCAGGTGGGGGGAGTCTCTGTTGCTTAAATAGTCAGATGAGCAACTGCATCCTGTGTGTATTTCTGGGCAAGTCCCCATCTTCTGCTCTGTTCTTTCTCCAAAGCCTCATTCTCAAGGAGTTACAAAAAATGGTAGTAAAGTAGAGTTCTACTCTGAGAAAGAGCATTGGGGAAAATGTCTTGAACTCAATATTCAGCAACTCTTGGATCTCAGCAAATCTGCCTGGTTCACAAGCTTAAAACTTCTCTATATGCGAATGCTACAAACTCTAGTTTAGACTTTTGAGTCCAGACTGGGCTCTCCAAGGTTTCTGGGAAGGTGGGGAGTTGGGAGCAGGTGAAACTGTATAACCTACTGTGGGTAAGTCACTTCTCTTGTGCCCCCATTTTCCCATCTGTGAAAAGAGCTACACTGCTCCTCTGAGTCCTTGAAGTGTTGTGGTGAATTCTGTGGATGAAATGAGCTGCACAGTTTGTGTGCAAGTCCCTACAGAACCTCTTGTGAGTATTTTGTTCTCAAACAGAACCACTGAGGGAAGAGTGTAGGGAGAAGGAGCAATGCTCCCTGTATTCTGCACCAAAAGGAAGGCTTCCTCAGTTCAGGGAGCCCTGGCTATGAATTAGAATGCACTGGGATTTATGTGCAGGGACCAATGATGCTGGGAAGAGGGATGCCATCTGTGGGGCTTCATGGGTGTAAGGTAGATGGAATGCTGGTAAAGGAAGAAAAGACTCTGTTGCAATAGGACATTCTGGGAAGGGTATGGGTTTTGCTTGCTCATCTCCATGAACCAGCATTTCATTTGGGCTGAGTCCATATTCCTGTAATTCCCCATCCCTCCCCATCTTGGGGATGGCAAAACTGAAGATCTGGAGTGAAGTGGCCCTTGTTCTGAGTGCTTCCCACTATCCTCTGTCGAATTGAGCTGTGGAGATGGATGGACAGAAGTACATCTGCTGAAGAGGAGCTAGGGCCTGATTGTGCTGATGCCATAATTTGTGGGGAGGGCAAGCAAGATGATGCAGGGCTCCCAAGCCAGCAGGTATTGCTCAAACTTTCTTGGACAAGCCCTCCCCCATCCCTCCTGTTCCTCTGGGGCTGAGGCCTCTGGGCTGTTTCTTCCATTTATCTTTCTGTTGGGGTTTTGTATGTTGTGCCCCTCTTTCTGGTTCTTCATGTGTGGGCAAAAAAAATTCCCCCACCCCTGTTGTTCTGAGCCTAAAGCAAGAAACTTCCTTCCCTGTCCACATGGCTTCAGTGGCTGTCTCACACATGTGTGATTTGTGTCTTTTTCTCTATTAAACACAACTGTAACCTTCTCGTTGGGCATGTATAGCACCCAGCTCATGTACTTTGAACTCTTTATGCTAATAAACACAGTTCCACTCCGTTACTTTGTCTGCTTGGTCTGCATATAGGTGGGGAAGGGTGGCCCTGGACTACTGGTGGGGCTGAGGGAGCGGGGGCTGACTCCTTCGTGTCTAGCCTGAACCGCTCCAGCGGGTGGGAGGGGGGAAGGTCGTACACCTTCTGCAATTCCAGGGTTGGGAAAACGAACCTCTTGTCTCTAGGGCAGTGGTTCTCTTCTGGATCTTAAGTGCATAGCTGGTTCTGAGTCATTCTATTTTACTGTATCTCAAGTATGCCCTTGAGAGGAAAGGTGACAACTCTAAACCCTGTTACTATCAGCATCAGGAACCTGGGTTAGTAATTGGTGCTTGGCCCATAGAATGTAATGGAGCCTGACCTACCTGGCTCTTCTGCTGTACACCATCAGGGAATGTCTTGTGTCCAAGAGGAAGAGCATTAGGTAGGAGTGGTAACTTACGAGAGGGCAGACAACTGTTCATAATGAGGGTGGGAGGAAGATGTGTGCTCTGCCTCACTGAAAACAGACTTTACTAAGGCTGGAAGTAGTGGAGTCCAGTGCTGTTTGAACTGTGTTGCAACTGGGAGGTTATTAGAGACGGTTCAGAGGAAATGTAGGAATGAAGGGCTCAAAGGAGATGTCCATAAACAGAAGGACACTGAAAGACCTGGAGTTTAAATTTAAAAAGGAATTTAAAGGAGACCATCCCATTTATCAGGTGGGGTAGTTAGTGGGTGCAATATGTAGGGAAGGGAGTCAGAGGAAAAACATAACTAGAGAAGGGGGAGTTGAGAGCTACATCCCCCTAAGACAAGGAGGAGGTAATTCCCTTTGAAGAAGGGAGTTATTGAGGAAACACCGATCAGAGGAAAGGGGGCTTGGTGGTGCTCTATATATATATGTGGTTCCTAAGCTGTGGGCTGTGACAGAGTCCCAGGTGTTCTGCTGGAGTGGAGTTTAAGGGGGCATTGCATGCTGGTGGCCCCTGAGCCTTTCTGTCATTCCCAGGTAGGGTGTGCCTGTGAGGGATTGGGGCAGGTGGGTGGGTGACTGGGGCAGGGCTGCTAGGTGACAAGCTCAGGAACTTAGTGGGCTGTGGAGGCGTTGGCAGGGACTAGCTGTGGCACTGGCCTGGAGCACCCCCAGCACCCCTGTGCCCCCCTTTCCCCAAGATTTAGTCAGGGATATTTTTAGTACAAGTCATGGACAGGTCATGGGCTGTGAATTTTTGTTTACTGTCTGTGACCTGTCCATGACTTTTACTAAAAATACCTGTGACTAAAATGTAGCCTTAACAATAATGCATGCAAGATGTCCAGATGCCCACAAAGTGACACTGACAGGCATTTACTCATTAAGATACCCATGAAGGCATGGTGGCAGAGTGGCATTAAAAGTCAAACATACGTTCAGCTGTCCACAAAAAAGGTAGATACTCAGACTGACAGTCACACATACTTTGAACCAATGCTATAATGAAAAAGTGAATTCACTTCAGACGAACAATGAGAGACTTTGTAAGACTATTTGTGCATGCTGCCATACATGCAAAGACAGAGGGACTCAGAGTGGTAATGATAGTCCCATACATTCACAGAAATGTCACTGATGCTTTATTAGCATGCTACCTTATGCTGCCAAAGTGTAAAAGAGACAGACATCTTTTGCATGTCTGTCAGAGGCAAATACAGTTGCCAGAACAGGGTTTCATGCTGTTTGGGGTTCCCTCTGCTTAGTCCATTTGTCATGTATCTTGTCATTTATGTCCTGATGCAGTGACAGATGATTTTATAACATAATGGCATCTCTCATGTTGCTCTCCTGTCTCCAAGCATTGGGCACCATGTTGCACACAGTCAGAGACAGACTCCTATCCTAATGGCCGGGCAGTGCCATTATAGTTAATGATGTTTCATGGCCTCCGTTGAAAGGTTGACCTTTCTAAGTCCTCTGACTAAACATGTTGATTTTAGATTCCTTTTGAAATTTGGTGTGCCACTGAAGGCTACTGGGTAGAGTTAGTGACCCAAATTTGGGATCACTTGAGCTATAGGTTGGGGAGAAAAAAAAATTAATAGCCTTTTTCAAAAAAGGGGTGTGTGTGGGCACGTGCTCTGACCTGCAGATTAAACTGTTGATGTGATGTCAGTCAAAATGGTCTCAATCTGTTTAGTTTTACCCAATGTACATTTTTGAGGGACCAAATGTGAAAACAGTATTTAAGAAAATGGTCAATTTTTTTATAGTGCGACTGTACCACTACAGAAAAATGTCAGGAGTGTTTTCCATTCCCACCATTTTATATGCTTTAAAGCTTGACTCTCTTGTAAGTGCTCTAAAATCTGAACAGTTACTTGGATTGATTTGAAATGTGGTGTGCCTCTAAATTTGGGGTCACTTGGTCATGAGATGCCCAAGTTACAGAGCCACCTTCCAAAAAATGGTTTCCTTCTGCTGCCTTGTGCTATTAAACTGAGAGGTACTAATGACTGGATGAATCATACCTTGTTGAGAATGAGGATTGTGAACTCACCCTTCAGTTAATGTAACTAAGAATAAATTTATCACAAGCGCCTACTTATGACAAAAGAGTTTTGGACAGAGTGGCTGGAGCTTGCTACAATTTGTGAGTTATAGGTAGTAATTTTATTTTTTGTGGGGGAATTAGACATGTGAATGGTTCCTGGGAGGGAAGAGTTATTAGGGGGTGGAAGGAGGAATTGGGGGAGAGGGGTTTGGTGCTACAGTGAGTAGGGGGTGTATGGGGATGGGTTGTAGGTCAGAGAGGTGTGGGAATTAGAGGGAGGTGGGAGTGGGACACAGAAGGGGGAATGTGGGGCTGAGTGGCAGGAGGACTGGGGAACAACTAGGGGTAGGTATCAGGGGGTAGCCATGTTAGTCTGTATCTACAAAAACAACAAGGAGTCTGGTGGCACCTTGAAG